GCCTTGGTGAATAAAACCTCACCAATTCCCTTCTGTGCCCCTGTGATGAACTTATAGGCAGCCACAAGGTCGCCTCTCAACCTTCTCTTGCGGAGGCTGAAAAGGTCCAGGTTCTCTATTCTCTCCTCGTAGGGCTTGGCATGCAAGCCCTTAACTATACGAGTGGCCCTTCTCTGGACCCTCTACAGGTTATCCGCATCCCTCTTGAAGTGCGGTGTCCAGAATTGCACGCAGTACTCCAACTGCAGTCTGACCAGCGCCCGATAGAGGGGAAGAATCACCTGTTTGGATCTATTCGTCATGCATCTGCTGATGCACGATAAAGTGCCATTAGCTTTTCTGATGGCTTTGTCACACTGCCGACTCATGTTCATCTTGGAGTCCACTAGGACTCCAAGATCCCTTTCCACTTCCGTGCCACCCAGCAGGTCATTTCCTAGGCAGTAGGTATGCTGGACATTTTTCCTCCCTAGGTGCAGCACTTTGCATTTCTCCTTGTTGAATTGCATTCTGTTGTTTTCTGCCCACTTGTCCAACCTATCCAGGTCTGCTTGCAGCTGTTCCCTGCCCTCCGGCATGTACACTTCTTCCCCACAGTTTTGTGTCATCTGCAAGTGACACAAAATGATAATTGATAAATGACACAAAATGTTATTCTGTGGAAACAAAATTATAGTGTTATTCTGTGTGCAACAGAAAGAAGTGCAGTAGGGAACTGGATAGGTACACAGTTGTCCCTCTGCATATTTTAAAAAATACAAGTGTATTTTCAAATGTAGAAGATATGTTCTAGCCTCATGCCTTAAGCACACTGCTGAACACTACTTTTTCAAATGCTTACTGGACCAGCATTGTCTATTGTTGGCTTTTTTTGGCATGAGTTTGGATCATTCAATTGTTTGTGGGTTGGTTATTTTATTTTTTACATGAGGAAGGAGAATAGCTCTTGTTTAAGGAATTATCAGTAGCTGAAAGGAAGGTAACACAGAAACTGGAATACTATATATGTTGTGTAAATGGCCTGATAGTGATTGAAGCGTGTTATTTTAAGCTGCTGTATCAACTGTTTCACTGCAGACTAGGTCTTGAAGCCAAAACAGATTGTGACCTTTCTTTTCAAGTTCTGAAGAAGGAAAACTTGGAAGTTGATTGTTTTTGTACTGGAAAAGAGGTAGCATGACCACATCCATATTATCCTTTGTTTGGTTTCTGCAGGCTGAACTGTGGGTGTATAAAGATCAGTACACTACATTCAGTGGCTTGGTGGCAATGCCTAGTCACATGCTAAGTGACATGGTTCAAGCTCTGATGCCACATGGTGGTTTTGGTCTTTAGAGGAGGGGAAAGAAGGAAATGGAAACCATCTTATAAATCTTCCTTGTGGGATCTGACATTTTGTTTGTCCCTAGTCTTGGAGGACAATGCTCGCTGACCACTCTAAACAGGATGTGAGTTGCAGTCAGTCTTATGGGTGTGAAGTCAAGGTACAGGGGTACCTTGTCTAGAATTAGGGAATAAGGGAATCTGAGAACTCAACATCATCTGTATGGCAGGAGCAGGCTTGTTGGGAGTTGCCCAGTCCCATGCAACAAAAGAAAGGCCAGAGCAATTGACCCTTCTCCAGTCCATGCTGCAAAATTCGCCCTGATGAGGTTCTCCTTGGGGTTTCACTTGATGTTTGATATTGTTTTCTTCGAAGAATGTTCATCTGTTTTTCCCATTAGAAATGTCAGGAGTGCTGACAGATCCCAGGGAGTGACTGTGTAAACTGCTTGTTGTACTGTGTTAAATGATTCGCTCAATTTCAGAAATCGTAAATAGGGTGAGAATGTTGCAGTGTACACTGATCTTTCCTCTCTAGGGCTCCCTGATCATGTCATGTGGAGAGAAATACTGCTGCTGGATGATAGTCCACACAGTTAAAACATCAGTTACACAGAAGCAGTGGCAGAGCAGTTTGTGTTTCCCTGTGACTGAGACACAAGACAAAGAGAAAAAGGAATTCTACTCTGTGGTTGTGTGGTGGCTTTGGGCAGTGGTAACAGGTAGCAAACTCCCAGGCATACATGCCAGCAGGACCTCATCTGTTTCTTAGCAACGTGTTTAATCACTTTTCTGCTTTGCCCATCTAAAAATCATTCTTGCTCCCTCAAATTTAAGTGGTCAGGACCTGGGGCTGGGGAGAAGAAGCTGATGCTCTGCTTAAGGACTTAGATTTCCTTTCCACGTTTATAAAATCACATGTATGGATTCATAGATTCATAGATTGTAAGGCTAGGAGGGACCCTGGAAGATCATCAGGTCCAGCTCCCCTGCACCAGGCAGAAAAGATAACTGGGAGTCAGGTGACCCCAGCAAGGTGCCTGTCCAGTCTCCTCTTGAAGATTTCCAGGGTAGGCAATCGCACCACCTCTGGAGGGAGCTTATTCCACTGTCTGGACACCCTGACTGTGAAGAAGTTTTTCCTAACGTTGAGCCCGTGAACGACTGGTTCCTCCCGAGACTGGAGGGGCACCATTGTAGTCAGTGGCGAGGGGCAAGCCAGGACTGTCCGCGGACACCGGCGGTGGTGTCAGCAGTGTGGGGTGGCGAGCGGTGACCACCTGCAGACACTGGTGGTGGTGTTGGCAGTGGCAAGTGGGAACCACCCACAGATGCTGGCAGCAGAGGAGGGGACAGCAAGCGGCAAGCGGAGACTGCCTGCAGATGCCCTCAGTGACATCAGCAGTGAGGGGGGGACAGGTGGAAAGCGGCTGCCACCCGCAGAAGCTGGCAGAAGCTTCAGCAGTGGCCAATCTCAGGGGAGGCATGTGCCCCCCTGCCCCCCACCACATGTCGCCTATGGTTGAGCCTGAAACAATCTTCTAGGAGTTTGTGGCCATTACTCCTGGTTTTCCCCAAGGGCGCCCTGGTGAACAGTTGCTCACTGAGCCCTTGATGTACGCCCCTGATGTAGTGGTAAGCTGCAACCAGGTCCCCTCTCAGCCTTCTCTTTTTCAGGCTGATGAGTCCCAGGTCCCTCAGCCTTTCCTCATATGGCTTGTCACACAAGTCTCGTATGAGTAGAGAACCAGTAGAAGACCTGTGCACAGCAAATACCCCACTTATGCACTATTTTAAAAGCTAAATTGAGACCTCAGCCATGCGTAGGTCTTGTACTGGGAATTCCACTTCAAGCACATAAAATGATAGTGAAAAATGCAGGCAGAATGTGCGAGAAAGAGAGTGAACCAGCAGGATTTTTGTCCTGCATGGCGGGGCAGGAAGGGGGGAGAGGCCATGAGAGGGGAACTTCCAGTTTCTCATTCCAAACAACCAGAGGGATGTGAACAGAAATGAATGAGGCAATTCTGCTCTGAGGAGTCAGGATAGACAAAGAAAAAAAAGTGGAAAACAGTCCCCAGGAGGGATTCTTTGATATGCTGAAGGGACTGAGCTTCCATTCAAAGCAGAACGGGGACTCCTCCCAAAGACACTGAGATGGGAACTCGTGGTTGCAAAGACTGAATTTGAAATTGTGGGAAAGAAGAAAAAACATAATTTGAGAAATTCTGCTTCGGGGGGAGGGTTGGGAGCTAAATATCCATGATCTTCATAGATGTAAAACGCTTAAAAATGATAAGATCTTCAGTATTGTGTCCTCTATTGTTCTATATCAAGGATGCAAACATGTCCAGAACAGGCATACTGGAGTTGTGACGTCTCCACTTCCTGTCTCCCTGCACTATTGTTTTGCATGAGCCAAGGAAGGACTGCTTTTGTTAGCCTGGTGCATAAGCAGTGGACTTAATATTTTGTGTAATGGAATAGAACTGTAGATAGCTGAATTGGTGGAATATAAGTGTTTCAACCTAAATGTACCTGGCTTATTTTTGATAGAATTCATGGAAGCTAATGTGGTTGCTTTTGTATACTGCTAAATGAATGTTGCTGTTATTTTTACAGTATTCGTGGCTTACTACTTTTGTTAGCACCAGTGTTGAAACAGTTTCCTATAATTCTGCTCCTTTTTGATCAATGAATCAGTTCAACATCATATAAAGTGATGAACATTTTTCTGTTTGTTAGAATAAATATGTTTTTCCCCACTTAAGAGAGATTCTCTATATATTGTACAGCCCTAATACATAAGGACAGAGGGGTAAAAGGACAGAAAACAGCACATATATTTTGAATACCAGCATTCATACTATATCTATTTCTCTCAAAACATAGACTCAAAAATGACTTGTGCATTTTAGCATCTCCATTTTTGGGTGTCCAGCTTCAGGACTCTTGAAGAGGCTAGATTTTCAGAAGACACAGACTCAATACTATTGCAAGTGAAGCTCCTTCAGGGTATCTCAGCAGTGTTGGGAACCCAAAAATGGAAGCCCCCCAAATCCCTAGTCACATTTGAAAATCTTGGCTCAGATCTTTATAAGTCTGATATAGCAGCTGAACATTCATAGCAGTGTCCTTCAGGTAGCACGCTATGCAGTGGTCCCCCAATAGACATGATCCTAGACCTCATACTCAGGTTGAGCTCCCTTGTTACAGGTCCTCTTTTCTGAGAAGTCTGACTTCAAGGCATATGAAGGAAGCTAAGGAATCTTTACTGAGAATTTCTAAAATGTGGTATGCAAGGGGGAAAATTATTGTCACACAATCTGCAGCATGCTTTGTTTGAAAGAAATTTGTGCAAGTGCCTTATTTGGATTTTCTTTTTTCTTTCTTTTTCATTCAAGCTACAAGAGACAGTAAAGAGGAAGTTGGAAGGTGCTCGCTCGCCCCTCAATGGAGAACAGCAAAATGGTGTCTGTGATGGTAGCTTCTCCCCAACCAGCAAGAGGATACGGAAGGATGTACCAGGAATTGATGCAATCAACAGCTTGCCCAATAACTTGCCTATACCTTCTGTTTCTCCTCTTCACCAGCTTGACATGAAGCCTTCTTTACCCCTGCAGAACAGTGGGACACATCCTACTGGGCTGGAAGACTTAGGTAAAAATGGCGGACTTCCAGAGATAAAGCTGCCAGTTAATGGTTGCAGTGAAATTGAGGAAAGTTTTAACATCCTGCAAAATAAGGAGCTAAAACAAGAACCTTTGGATGACCCTACATGCATAGACACTTCTGAAACCTCCCTTTCAAATCAAAATAAACTCTTCTCAGACATTAATCTGAATGATCAAGAGTGGCAGGAGCTAATAGATGAGCTAGCCAACACTGTTCCAGAGGATGATATACAAGATTTGTTTAATGAAGACTTTGAAGAGAAGAAGGAACCAGAATTTCCCAGGCCTGCCACTGAGATTCAAGAGAGTGCAAGCATTAAAAGCGATCCGTCTCATTCTCCATTTGCTCATGTACCTCTGGGATCTCCCCAGGTGAGGCCTTCTTCTTCAGGTCCTCCATTTTCAAATGTCTCCACAGCTTCTAGTATACCTTCTGTTTCCAGTGCTCCTGCAGCTCCAGTCCCTGCCAGCTCACCAGCAAATTGTGTTGTTCAGTCACCCCAAACTCCCAACCAGGCCCATACTCCAGGCCAGTCTCAGTCACGATCTGGAAATGGTTACCTTATGAATCCAGCAGCTGTAACAGTGGCGGGTGCAGGGCCTGGTCCTGTGACTATACCCAGTGCTGACTTATCTCCAGCTGAACAGCTGAAACAAATGGCAGCACAGCAGCAACAAAGAGCTAAACTCATGCAGCAAAAGCAGCAACAGCAACAGCAGCAACATCCAAATCAAGCATCAAGCTGGTCACCTGTTGGGCCTCCATCTAGTCCGTACGGAGGGCCCTTCAGTGCAGACAAACCAAATAGTCCAATGATGTATCCCCAAGCCTTTAACAACCAAAACCCAATAGTGCCTCCTATGGCAAACAATCCACAGAAGACCACAATGAATAACTACCTCCCTCAAAATCACATAAATATGATCAGTCAGCAGCCAAATAACTTGGGTACAAACTCCCTAAGCAAACAGCCCAATATGCTTACTTATGGCAACACTAAACCTCTGACTCATTTCAATGCTGAGTTGAGTCAGAGAATGACTCCACCCATGGCCAATCCCAACAAGAACCCCATGATGCCATACATACAGCCACAGTCCCAGCAGCCACAGATGCAAGCTCAGATGGCGCACCTGAGTGAGGAACAGAAGCGCATGCTTATCATGAAGCAGAAAGGAATGATGACTCAACCAATGGCATATGCAACACTTCCCTCCCTTAGTCAGGTAAGTGTAATACCTGTTGAACGTACACTTTGTGAGCAACTTTAGTCCAAGAAAAAGTTTCAGCAACTGACTTTCTCTCTGAGGGGATGAGTTCAGTTTCAGTAGTTTCCTGTTTTCATTGTCACATAGGAGCTTGGTCCATTTATGAAAGGGGTTATATGCTATGGATGTCTGCAGTAGGAAAGGATTGGACTTGATAGCATAGGTGGTCCTTTCTGGTCCTGCATTCCTGGATGTGCGTGTCTGTCCTGTGGTGACATTCTTCCAGTGTTTCCAGTGACTAGGGCCAATCAGGGGGCTTTGGAGAGGATTGATTTTGAGATCTTTTCTCTTTTGAGAGCTCATTTCCTGCCTTCTGTAACTTTCCAACCTGTAGCACTGTGCTGTTTAACTTACACAAAGTTGTTGCATTGTAACAGAAGGTGTTAGCAGAGTCACTTTTTCCATAGCGTTGGAGAAGAGGAGGAGGAATCTGGGCAACTCTGAACAGAATCGTCAGCGGTGCATGGTTCAGTGGCATGAATTATCAACAACAACAGCCTTCTGGCTGCTCCTTCTGACTGCCCATGAGCAACCTCAGCTCCCACTTCTGCAAGTAAATGTAGCAGTGAAAGGCATTTGGCACCTCTTAGAATCAGGTCCAAAATGAGATTATTTCTGACAAGACATCCAAGTAGACCTCAGTGATGTACTTCTTGTAATTGTACTTCCATTTTCAAAATGCCTGCAGTCTTCTCTAGTGACTTGCCGTCTGATTTAGGTCTTCAGGAGAAACAATTTTGCATTACCTTCTCACTCTTAAACTCCAGGCTCACTATGTGGGGCTGTTGGTGCTAGGTCTGTGGGACAGAAGCAGATGGATCTCAGTTAGTTAATGTAAGTAACAGTTATAGCAGTCGCATTTTGTACCAGACCATAAGCCCCTCATTCATGTTCAGTAAAACTACCTGCATGAATAACTGATCACCAGTGTGAAGGAGGAGGGCATGTATGCACACTTCAGGTGTTGTTTTGTTCATTTTAAAAAGGACCAAACAAAACAATCATTTCTTTTGTAACTGAGCCAGGCTTACAATGAAGGTGATACCTCTTATGGAAATCCTACCCCTAAAGTGTGTCAGGAATTATGATGTAATGACACACTAATAGAATTGTCCATTGTTAGTTTTAGTTCAAAGAGCTTTTTACCACATTAGCTATTTCCACATTGCCTACAATAAGCTCTTCCTTTTGAGCATGGCTTCAGATAATGGTGACTCACATCACTAATGCACGTGGAGATACGGCAGTGTTCCATATTTCCTGGACGTGGTGAGTTTGGGAATTTACCCCCAAGAGAAACTTGTCCTTTTCACCTTAGAGTGGGTCACATAATTGTTAAGGTGAGGAGGTGCAGAGAAAAAAGCAGTGAACCAGTGCCTTCTGGGGTTTGGTTCACAATGGCTGGAGACAGCTCAAAAATGTGCCTTTCTGTTCTTAATAATGAATGTCTCTTGCATTATAAATAATAGGCCTAGTCCCTCTGCTTTTGGTGAAGTCTTCTCCTGAAAAACAATAAGGCACTGATATCACAATCAGCCACTCTAACCTGAACTACAGCATCCCCTGTCCCAGCTGACAAGAGAAAGGACGTTTAACCAATGTAATGTTCTATGGCAGTGATTCTCAGCCAGGGTGCTGCGGCACCCCAGGTGCCTGGAGATCTTGTCAGAAGTGTCATGGGGTGCCACGCAGCATTAGCACTGTTAAGTGTACAAACATTTTTGACAAGACTAAACCCGAGATTTCCAACAGGAATCCATAGTGTTAAAAACATTCTGACCTGCTGTGGTCTTTCTGATTTCTTTGCAACAAAAGAATTGCTCCGTTACTTTTCTGTACTGAAAAATTAGTAAAAATGAAGAGCTGGCACTTCCTGAGGGTATCTTGAGTGTAATGAGGGTTTCCTTGAGTCTAAAAAGGTTGAGAACCACTGCTTTGTGGTTTATTTCAGAGGTGCTCAACCTCCAGCCCATGAAGCTCCCCACGGGCTGCGAAATTTGGTGTCAGGGCAGCAGTGGCAATTAATACTGCCTCCCTGCTCTGCCACGGCCAAAATCCCAAGCCCCACAGCCATGACCCTCCCACTACATGACCAGATCAGGGCCAGGCAGCACTCCCTTCCCTTTGCACAGCAGGGATGGGGCCAAGCTGTGCTCCTTTCTTCCTGTGGGTCTGGGCCATGCCCCCTCCACCTGCACAGCTCGTTTGGGTTGGGTCATGCCCCCTTGTCTCTCCTCAGGGTCTCCTTCTCTCTGGCCACGTTGGAGCCAGGCTGTGCCCCCTTCCTTCCATAGGGCCAGGCTATACCTCCTTTCCCCATGGGCTGAATTGGGGCCAGGTCATTGCTCCCTCCCTCCACCAGGCCAGGTTGGATCTGGGCCAAGCCCTTTCCCCAAATGGCTGGATCAGGGATGGGCTGCCCCTCCACCCTGCTGTGTGGCTGGATGGAGCCCTGTCACGCATGCCCGGGGCACTGGACTGGGTCCACCAATCAGATCCATCCCACAGAGGGGCCAGACACTGCCCATCCAAGCCCCACGGACAAAAAGGTTGAGCACCACTGGTTTATTTTATTGGGTATTTTACACCTGTTTAACTCAAATACCTCACAAGCCATTAGGAAAAGAGTAGTCTCTGTAATAATACCTCTCCCCTTCACTCAAAGGTTGAGAAATACGTGGCTGTGCTTTAAGCTTGATGGGATATCAGTATCCTGCTGTAGTTCACCAGCAAGAATAGGTAACTTCAGGCTTCCTATCCTGATGTTACCAAGGCTTAAAAAAGCAACAGAAGAAGCTGTTAAAACAAGTAAAACATTGAAACCATTTTCATACCTTATAAAGAAGTCATTTGGGGTAAAAGTAGGTGGGGGGGTTTAGCAGACCATTCAGTTCACCTTTGAATGACTCAACCAGAAATAAGGACCTATTGCTTCCATATGGGAAGGTCCATCCAGTCCCAGTGGACCAATTTAGATTCATGTGCAGGGAAGGATCAGTTAGCTGAGGAAGGTGATAAAACAGATATGTAGCTAAAATGTATGTCCCAGTTCTTTCCCTTGCTGCTCACCTTAAATGTATTTTTCTGTGGACACCTTAAAAGCTGTTGTTATGCTGTGGCCTGCTCAGGCAGCAATAGATTGATTCTTACAATGATAGGAAAGATCTGTTGATTTTAATAAACCTGATCTACAACAATGCAGTCCTTGCTATTCCAACTACTGGAGGATACAGAGAGAATCAGTTGCAAACATCTCTTGGATTGGATGCATTGCATATTGTAGGTAAAGTGTTAGAAAAATTCTTACTTTGTTTTTGGAAGAAACTTGAAATGCAAATATGTATGAGCATCCCTCCACAGGTTCATCATTGTTACTCTGCCATTATGGCTTCTCTCACTCTGACTTGCATATAAAAGTTTATAAGTTTTGTAAGTGACATCAGGCTTATTAAAAAAACCCAACAACCTAAAAACATACTGTAAACAAGAGAAAGTGCTTTAGTAGCTGGGTCATATGACCAGTAATGTGCATATATTAGTATCATATGACTAGAGGAGATTAATTAAGAAACTATTTAAGGAACATCTTATATTTATGTACCAAAATTTTGAATTTCACTTGGCCTGAGAGTTTGGGTGTAAATAAGTTTATCTGCATGCCTGAAATACATACGCATCAACATCTATATGCACTTAGCATTTTCATAATTTTCTGTGTATTACAGAGATGACATTTTGTCAGCAGAGTTGGGACCATATAAACAGTCTGTGTAAGAGGTAACTAGCAAATGACCCTGTTAACGTGTCAGTGAATGGCTGCTGCTTTGGGCTCGTTTCCTGGGCTTTGTTGAACCGTATTAATTATGTTAAAAAAGAAAGGTGTGCAGCTAGATGAGGAACCTATTTAGCTCAACATAAACATGAGTAATTGGACAGTTGGCAGACTGCTAAATTGGTGGTCTAGTGAGAGAAACTAGCATGACAAACATTATTTCTGTATGCATAACAGCAGTAAAATTTCTCTAAATAATTTCTTTTATTCAGTTAAAAGTATGAAGAAAATAAAAACTGGAAAGGCGAGAGCTGTCAGAAGTTAGTGAATATGAGAAGGCCAAACAAAATAGAATTCTCTGTAGGTGTAAAAAAATAAACTCAAACTGTGACTCTTTACCCCCATGAGGTTATAAAGATACACTATTTTAGTTTCTATTGAAAAAATTAATTGCCTCGTTTGAAGTTGGAGGTAGGTGGGAGAGGATAAAAAATAAGATATAGAAAGAATCCCTTAAAATTCACTTCTTTATATTTGTGTTTCAACTCTGAAAATATGTAGTTGATTTTATTGGTCTTAATTTTGTGTATGATTGAGAAATGGGACTTCATAGCCATATAATACTTTAAAGATGCAATTGACTTGGTATTTTAGGTGGGAAAAATGCTTTCTCCCTAGCATTCTGAAAGGTATCTTTACTTTCTCTTTACGGTTGTCTTCTGGTTTGCATATTATATAGATCATTGATTTACATGTTGGTAGTTTCACTGTGGGATCTACAAATAGAGAAGATCCCTGAACTTTCTTTGGTGCTTCAGACTATGGCAAAGGCAGAGTTGTCATGCACATGTAGTGCTTTGAGAAAACACCGGCTGCAATAGCAACTTCGTAAGTTTGAAATTTTGAGAGGCATTTGCTGGATATGTTGTGAGGTTTTGTCTATACCACAGTAATATAAGTAAGTGGGGGCAACCAGGACATCTGCCCCAGGTACTCCTTTTGTGTGGTAGCACAAAAGTAGCCGTGACTGCAGCAGCAGCTAATCATGCCACTGCAGTCAGCACCATAGCAATCAGCGCTGCCCTGGGTATTTGCATGATTGCCTTGGCACAGAGCTGCCTAGCTACATCTCTGCTATACTATGTTTAGCTCTAGCCACTGGCCTTCAAGAAGGAGTTGCACTGAG